CATAATGGTGTGCAATCATATTCTCTGTAGCAGTGTTAATTTTGACAGCAAATTTTGATTTAGTTTTAGTCATAGTCTTTTGACTAAAATGCCATTTAGTTTTAGTCATATTTTAGTCACCTGAATTGTTTTTAGTTTTAGTCTAGTTTTAGTCGACTAAATATCATAAGATTTTAGTCGACTAAATCTACAGTAAATTTAGTCGGCTAAAATCTAATGGGTTTTGTTACAGTGTAATGCGTTTATTAAGCAATTCAACTCATTATATTGGTTTGATATTAAGGTTTTATCATGATAGACACCGATTTAATGCGGTGACACACAACATGCCTTTATGTTAAAATTAATAAAACCACTTCTCATAAAGAACAAGAACATGGTCTTCTTTTTAATGAAATAGAAATTGAATGAATCTCTTCCCAAATCGTCCCTCCCTAACATTTTCGTCTCGTTTTTATTCGTTGACGAAAATGTCAATAAATTTTCGTCATAGTTTTTGTCATTCAAAAATAATTTTAGTTCGTTATGGCCTCGTTGTCGTCAGTGAAAAAAATGCCGAAAATTATTCGTCAACGAAATTAACACTGCTCTGTAGACATATCTGTTTTTAATGATAATGTATTAATTATTCAAGACATACTTGTATGTTATGAGGTTTTTAATTATATATGATATACTGTATATACTTTTGTGAAAGTAACTGTGGTTTCAAATTTTCAAAAAAAAATTATTGGCAGTTTAAACCTTTTTTATTTTATTTTTTTTAAAGAAAATTGGAAATCACAGTGTCACAAAGTCTCTTAAAGAGAATTGATGTAATTAAGAAATGATAGTTAGGTCTGAAGAAATTATGTTGATTACGTCTGTTTCCCATACATGGTGAAATGACATATTTGTGGGGAAAAAGGTTTCCATTTTAAATAAATGCTGTTTTTAACTTTATTTCATCAAAGAATCTCTTATGCTCATCAAGGCTATATTTATTTGATCAAAAATGCAGAAAAAAACTGTAATATTGTGAAATATTATTGCAATTTCTCATATTGGTGTCCTATTTTAATATACTTTAAAATATAATTTATTTCCGTGACACAGTGCTGAATTTTCACCAGCCATTACTACATTTTTTTAGTGTCACGTGATCCTTCAGAAATCATTCTAATATTCTGATTTGTTATCAGTGTTGAAACTTTTGTGCTGCGTAACATTTTTTGGAACCTGTGATAATTTTTTCTTTAATTCTTTGATGAATAAAAAGTTAAAAAAAAACACAAAAAAAAAAAATTTACTGACCTCAAACCTATGAATAGTAGTGTATATTGTAACACAAAATTTCTATTTTGAATAAACACTGTTCTTTTTAACTTTTTATTTATCAAAGAATCCTGAAAAAAGTATCACAGGTCCCAAAAAATATTAAGCAGCATAACTGTTTCCAAAATTGTTTATAAATCAGCTTATTAGAAGGATTTCTGAAGGATCATGTGACACTGAAGACTGGAGTAATGCTGCTGAAAATTCAGCTTTACATCACAGGAATAAATTATATTTTGAAATATATTAAAATAGAGAAATGTAATTTTAAATACAATAATATTTCACAAAATTACATTTTTTTTTCTTTAAATTTCTTTTAAAACACTAAAAATCTTACTGATCCTAAACTATAATATATAATGTTTTGCAGTAAAGTTAAATTATTTAGCAAGGTCTAAAGTCAGTAGTTTTGTCATAACTTCACAATGCATTATGGTGTAAATAGTTCATTTCCCCATAAACAATATTAATTAGAATTGTCTGTCTTTTTTTCATAAACTTTATTGCAGTAATAAAGTAATTGTTCTCAGAGTGGAATGGTTTGTTCAATGCTTAGAATTGAAGAATGTTTTGAACTCCCTATGGAGAAAATGAATGGGCAAAATACTTAAAAGAACCAAACCAACTGCTTTGGTGCACACTATTTCTCCATATTTCCATCTTTTTTTTTTTGTTTTAGTCCATAACCATGTGATGACTTGGAAATGTGCAAAGGACTGTTTTCTGTTGTTTGTGTTTGAGTCACGCAGCTCTTTTGATCTGTAAGGCTTGCGGGGGATTTGTCCCTGGGATTTTTCACTCTTTGAAGCGCAATCTGCAGGATGCGTTGAATTAGAGCGTCATGGAAAGCGAGAAGGGGTTTTTTATCAGAATGAGCCCACGAACTTCCCAATCCCATCACCCTGACATCTGTTCTGATTCTGAATGTGATTGTTTTTGTCTAGATCGTTCAAGAATCACCATTCCTCACCATGGACCTCTTGGAATCCTGCTTCCCGTATGTCCTGCTCCGGAACGCCTACCACGCCGTGTACAAGCAGTCTGTGTCTTCTTCCGCGTAAGAGTTCCCGTGCGTAGAGCACTCGAGGGGCGGATACTTCAGCCCTCGCTCCATATTCCTCTGTAGGATTCTCCAATGTTATAGTCTTACCAGTTCAAGACTTTTAATGGGATCAAAACTTTTATGACACTGAATAAAGGGGAAAAAATGATTTGTTTATTGACCACTTACAATAATCGAGTTTGATCCCAGGGGACTAGTGACACTAAGTATCATTTTGACCATTTTTTTTGGTTTGTGTTCTAATTTGCAATGGTTAAACGTGGATACAAACACATTAAATAGTTAATTGTGTGTGTTGGGACGGGGGGGGGAGGGCAAGGGTGTGAATTATTAAAAACTCTACATCATGCTAAATGCTTGTTACGATAACAGATGCCTCTATGAAACAGTGATTCTTTTTTTGATGTTGTTCTAGATCTAATCTGTGTGGGTTACTGCGTGCTTTTTTTTTCTCTCTCCCTCCCTGTGAATTTGCATTTATTTTCATTACACTTTGTGTTCCTTTGACATACTTGCCAAATTAATGGATATAACAGCATCTCATTTGGATTGAAACGGCAGAATTGTGCATAACTACATGTTATAAAAGCAACCTAGTGTTGTTTGTACAAAGCATAGTATAATTTTTTAACTAAATTTCGTAATGCCTTGTGGCATTGACACTCCATTGTACCTGTCTGTGAGCTACAATAAACATTCTTACATATTTATTGAATGTTTATCAGTTGTTTTCCCCCTCCTCTCCCTTAACTGGTTTTATATGTTTGGATTTTTTTGGAAATGACAATGTATCTTCCATAACATGAATAAACATCAGGTCAAATGCAGTTTGACTGGTCCACTTTAATGCTGTTTAGTGATGCAAAGTAGTTCTGATAGTCATGAAAAATCTGGAAATAACAGTAAATTGCCTTTGTGAGTCGATTCATTTTAATAATTCAGTCAACTTCCAACTTCGTGGAAAATTCATTTATCAAGACGTGTGGGAACCCTGTAACAGGTTGCATGTGTGATTTTGATACTGTATTATGTGGGAATATAACGAAAATGGTATCTATACACAGCATTTTTATTATTCTGTTTTTAGTCCAAGCTGACAGGAACATTGCTGAACTTCTTTGATCGGAGGCTGCCCATCTAAATCTTCTCACATGAACTGAGCCAAAGGGCACACTGTGCAGATGTTTTTAAAAGACTAGATTTACTTCTATGGACTTGTTTTTACCTTTTGTGTGCACTCTGTTTTTAGCTTCACATTTAAGTTGCACCTGACCATTTTAGGTATATAGTTAAAGCCTAATTTTTATGTTGCTGCTGCAACAAAAACACATTTCTCCAGGTGTAACTGCATAATTGAGCCCATGCAAACGATTTGCTACATAGCTGTTCTAGATTCATATCTCTGGCTCTCACGGCATATTGATATTTTGTGGCACATTGCGGCATTATTTCAGTGATTATATCCTCTGGTGGAAGGATATCACTTCATGAATTTGCTTAATAGAGCTGTTTATGGTCCTAAACCCCAGAAGAGAATTAGCACTTGACTCACGAGTTCCCTCAGAAATTTCTAATGGGTTTTTAGCCTAGCAGTTGTTCGATTTATGAGTAAATTAAGGTGTGTAGTTAACATTTCTTGAGACTTTCACATTTTGTTGTATGACATAAATTGCATAGTCATTCCTCAAATGCCGCTAAATGTAAGATGCCAACAATTTTCTACATAAAAACTACAAACCGATGTCTGATTCGTCAAGAACATAACCTGACATTCTTATGGTAGTTGTAGTCTTTGTTTAGTAATCGCGACTAGCATTTTTTTCAGAAATCATGTTTGAGGTATGACTGTGCATTATGTTGTAAAACCTGGAATGAATGTTAACCGTAAATCTTATTTTACTCGTAAATAAATAAACGCTATGCTAAAGACACAAAATTAGCCTTAGGCTATACTGTTAGCAAGTTTGATTTCACGATTAAAGAGTTGTATAACATTTTAATGAAAATTGGTCTCTTAATATTTTTCATGTAGATGCTATTTTATAGTATAGTATAGTATTCTCCATGTTTTAAGTTAAGCATTATGGCTTAGCCTATATAATTTGCTAAAATATCAGCTCCAAATATAATGCAGTTAATTACTTTTGTAAATTCACTTCAAGAACATGTAAAGTGTGACCCTTCTCCTTTCTCATTTTTTAACCTTATTGTAGTGTTCTTATCAACACAGACCGATGTTGATTATAGGTCTGCCTTTAAATTAACACCACCTTATGTCCACAACTCTATGTACTATTTTACTTATTCAAACAGCGCTTTTGTCTTGAAGTCTTTTACGGCAGCAGTAAGTAAACAGTCTTGTGTTTGAGGGCGCAACAGGAGACTGAAGTGATGGAGGAGGAGGTGGGCTGCTTTATGTCCCCAGCCCACCTCCTCTTATTCCTCCTCCTCCAGCTGCTTCCAGTCGCTTTCTGTCAGCAGGAGCTGGAGGAGAGATCAGTTCACCAGCACGCTCCTGAAGTGAGGAACCCGACGAGCATTTCCAGGAGAGACATTCTTTTTTTTCCACCACCATTTCAGCGAGAATTAAAAAAAAAAAAAGAGCCATTCTTTTTTTTCCCCCCCCATTTCAGCGAGAATTAAAAAAAAAAAAAGAGCTTTTGTTCTCTGCGTATCTGGTGCAATACTTCAGTATGCTGAAGTTAGTTTGAGGAACTTTGTTTTGGGGAGATTTTACGCGCAAGAGTCTCCAGCTCTCCAGAAGATCTCCGCATGCCCTTGGTGAATTATAAATAGCTTCATCTCTCAATTGTGTTTTGATCACCAATAATATGTTTTCCTACGAGATGTTCATCTGCGTCCTGGCCATCGCCTGTCTCCTGGAGATCCCCCGAGGCACCGCGGCCGCGTCCTGCGAGCCTATCCGCATCCCCATGTGCAGGTCCATGCCGTGGAACATGACCAAGATGCCCAACCACCTCCATCACAGCACGCAGGCCAATGCCGTGCTCGCCATCGAGCAGTTCGAGGGGCTGCTGGGCACCCAGTGCAGCCCGGACCTGCTGTTCTTCCTGTGCGCCATGTACGCGCCCATATGCACCATCGACTTCCAGCACGACCCCATCAAGCCCTGCAAGTCCGTGTGCGAGCGGGCCAAGTGCGGCTGCGAGCCGGTCATGAAGAAGTACAATCATACGTGGCCGGAGAGTCTGGCCTGCGAGGAGCTGCCCGTCTACGACCGAGGAGTCTGCATCTCACCTGAGGCGATAGTCAAGGCGGAGGGGCCAGGTTATTCATGCATTTATCATTGATTTTTGTTATTTATTTATTATTAATAATATATAGGGACAATTCAGGTAAATTGTGACTCTTTTGACAGTCATATCAGTGTCAAAAAGTGACCCAATTTGTGCAGATTTACCCTATATAAATTTCCTTATATGATATAGATACAGATTGTATTGTAATCTTTGCATATAGTGTGTAATATGTTTATATGTTATCATCATTATTATTATATGGCATGAATTCAGGTAGAAGATTGGAACAATTTTTATTATATTTATACACTGTAGTGATGAATTATGGCATTATATTATATTATAATGCAAGGTGTATTATTGGGGCGCTTTTGACAGTCATATCAGTGTCAAAAAGTGACCCAATTTGTGCAAATTTACCCTATATAAATTTACTTATATAATATAGATACAGATTTTATTGTTGTCTATGCATATCGTGTGTAATATGTTTATATGTAATGTGTGTGATCATTTTTATCATCATCATCATCATTATTATATGGCATGAAGATGACATGCCATGTAGATTGGAACACTTTTGATAATCTCAGTATCAAAAATTGGGCCATTTTATATTATATTATATTATATTATAATAAAAGGTGTCTTATTGGGGCACTTTTGACAGTCATCTCCGTATCCAAAGTGGCTACTTTTACATGAATGCACCCTCATATTCATATACGTTAGTTATAACTTATAGTATGTATATAGTATATTTATTCTAATACCTGCAATCATTAACATCAATGAAATTCTGTTAAAATAATCCTTGAACTTTTCTTCCCTAAAGATAATCCTTACTATCAAGACCCTTCAAAATGTAACCCTGGTGAGATAATGTTGTATTACTATGGGAATTATTAAATATTGCAAATTGTAAAGAGGAAATTTCTGAAATGCATATATGAAATCCAGTTTGAACGTTAATCTCAGTTCTGGTTCTTGTGCAGAAGGAAATCCAGACTTCCCAATGGATTCACATAATGCCAACTGCAAAGGAGCTAATGGTATGCTGTTTAAGTATCAATAGCTTTATGTTTTTTTGTTTTGTTTGTGTGCATAATAAATAATGTGCAAATATGTTTAAAATGACATAGCAAAGTGCTTTACAGTCTATTTTGCTGTTTAGATAATACAACAATATAAAAATATTTCTTTAAACATAACATTACAGATTTACTAGAGTTCTGCCTAAAAATTCTAAACATAAATACTTTTAACTTTTTCAGATCGGTGCAAATGCAAGTCTGTGAGACTTGGTCAAAAGACATATTCAAAGAACAATTACAATTATGGTAAGGTCTTATTTTACAATTTACCTTGTGTGAAGTTCTCAACAGTCTCAAACTGCTCGTTTTGTTTGCTTTGTATTTCTTTACACATTCTCATAAAACTCAAAGTACTTTTTGTAGAGCTTAAAACAGGGCACGCTTTCATTGTTTCTCTTTGCAGTCATCCGGGCAAGAGTGAAAGAGATCAAGACTAGAAATCATGACCTGAGCGCCATCGTGGAGGTCAAAGACGTCTTGAAGTCTTCTCTGGTCAACATCCCTCGAGACACCGTCACTCTTTATTATAACTCTGGGTGTCTGTGTCCTCCGCTAGCAGCCAATGAGGAATATATCATCATGGGTTATGAAAATGAGGAAAGGTCCAGGTAAGGCCTGATTTATGTGATGAGGATATTTGTGGATTATATTCCTGTTCTCATAAATCATCTCTCCCACAGACTGCTGCTCATTGATGGATCCATTGCACAGAAGTGGAAAGACAAAATGGGCCGGAAAGTGAAGGTATGAAAATAGCAATCATTAGATTACAGTGGCCCGAGAAAGCATTTTGATACTTTAGTCTTAAAATATCTAAATGTTACTCAAAATATCTAAATGTCATTGCATTGGAAGTAACATATCAAATCAAGCAGCATCTGCAAAGAAATGATGCTTGATGAAACTTCTATGAGCCAGTTTTGCTCAGTGACTTTTAATCAGCCGGTCTTCATGTGATTTTTGGTGGAAGTATGAAGTCAGTTCTCCTGAAGTTCACACAGGTGTCACAGCAGAGTAACTACAGGTGGAGAAGAATGTTCCTAACATTTAACTACCAAAAAGTATCCAAATACTTGGTTTTCTTTTTTTTTTAAAGATGAACAGTTTTATCATCTCAAAACTAACAAACCTGGTTTTTATGTAATAGATAAATGAATATAATGACATTAATGTATTGTTAAGTCTCCAAATACTTATATATATATATATATATACATGGGTGTGTTTGTGTAGACACACATAAACATACATTAAATATATTTTTATATATTCACATATACAAATCACACATTCATATATACAAATCTGCCCTTATTTATTTATTTATTGTGTCCATCGTATCTAGTAAATAAATTTTTCTTCTACAAACTTTGTCTTTCTTTTAAAGTATGAACAGTTTTATACCCAACAAACTTGAATTTGCCTATATATTTTTTATGATTGCCTATATATAAAATACATAATTTATGTAATTTATACACACACACACACACACACACTC